GCATTCATTAAAATATTACATTCCACTTCGATTTTGTTAGAATTAATATGGAGAATATAAAGGATATTTGTTTGTTTGTGTGTAAGATGAATTTTTATTTCATCGAGTGGGCTTTAAAAACAGTATTCCCACGAGTGGCGTAGCCATGAGTGAGAGTACTGTTTTTGAAGTTCACGAGATGAAATAAAATTACATCTGACACAACAAACAAACAAATTTTCTCTTTTGTTTATGCTTAAAAATAAGTTAAAACGAAATTTCCTTGATGTTAACTTTTATATCAAAATCTGCTTTCCCCACTGGTAGCCTCTATTATGTACATGTATTAGTCGAATTTCTCATAAAATACAAGAAGTTTTGGGCTGTAAATTCATTTTATTAAAAAGACATGAATGATCGCTTATTTTAATACATGTAATAAAAACAAACCATTTTTATAGGAGAAAAAGTCCAACCATCCATCCATATTTCTGTTACTTACAGCGAATGTACAGTATATTAGACATGGCTCTGTTAAATGTAAGCGGCGGCATTTTTAAAAGTTGTGTATTTCACGGGAGGAAAATAATTATGTTTGATTCAGAGGGATATCATTTGGATTTGTTAGTCATACACCTTTTTAAAAGAAATAAAACTTATTTGAGGATTGTAACGGACAATAAATAAGTGTTGACAGCTGTGTTTAAAAAGTCGCTAGGAAATTTGAAACTTGGAATTGTTGAAAGGCTGCCTTACGAACGCTGGGTTGTTTACTTATTCTTCGGGCTGATGGCTGTCATTGCTTTTCAAGTTTTCGAGGGATCACTTTGTTTCCAGAATTTTGTACTTCACAACAGCAGGTGTAAAGTACCGTGTGGCAGCCGTAAAAAGTTGCCCCGTACTTCTTATGTTATTTTGTTGTGATTAATGCTTCCGAGGGATCACTTTGTTTCCAGAATTTCACAAAGCATACGGCAGTTATTGCTCGTAGGAAATATGCCCGAATGCCATAAAGAGCAGTTTTGCATGCGGAAAGAATTTACTTTTCAGACTGTAAAATGAAACAAAAATATTAAGAGACGATATTAATTTTGCTGATTGGTAATTTGGATGAATAAAAGTAAGTTTTCTTCTTTTTATTACTTTTAACATTTAAGTTATTTATCAATTTCAGCTTTGCTTTTCTCTAAACAGTCTGACATTGTCAGAATTGTCAGCAAAATAAAATTTAGGTACCACATGGGGAAAATCTTAAGAAAATAGTTTCGTCATTGGAAAGTGTGAAATTATATTTTGATAATTTCCACTGTGAAATTATCAAATATAATTTTCACGGATAAATCAGTAATCCACTGAAAAGCATAAAATAAAAAACTATAAAACTAATGTTATTGAAAGTCATATCTGCTAAAAATGTAAACGTTATTCCCAGTAGCACAGTCTGTTAAGTGATTGACTGATGTGTGAGAGGTCTATGACTGGATTCCTACTGTTGCTTTTTTTAGGACCTACTGTTTTTGGGGTCTTTTTGGTTTTTTCTTTGGGGGGAGGGGTGCAGTTTATATTTTAAAACACTTTTTGTCTCGGTTTGTGTTGTGTTTATGGCATTGGAATGGTATTTTTGACATTTCAAAATAATCTTTCAATATTAATTTTAAACCATAAATACCATAATAAGTGCAAAATATATGAAAACAAAATGAACAACTTAAAAAAATGATTGCTACAAATAATTTTGAAAATTACGGAACACCTGAAGTGACATTTTCCACACTTTCTCCCGGAATTGAATTCGTTTTTACGAGATAATAATTCCCAATTAGAAATATTATTTCGTTTTAACGAAATATAAAATCTTAATTACGAAATATTGATTCGTTATTACGAAATATTATTTCGTAATTACGAAATATTAATTTGTTATTACGAAATATTTATTCTTTGGTAATATTTATAAAGAAGGATTTGAAACTAAGTTTATTGTTAAATATAAGTCAAGTAAACAAAACATAAAAAGTGATTTTTTTCAATCTTAGTCTTATACATGTACTTTAACGCGCTAGTAAAACGGTACTGTAAATAACTGTTAATTGAGCTATTAGGCTTATACCGGTAATCGTTATACTTGGTGGTCAATCATATTAAAATCAGATCATACAAATGTATTGAATAATCATTTGATTTTGACAATAAATTAGTTGCATCATATTGTATCATAGTTTTAATGACCTATTTTAGTTTTTTTAAGCGGCCATTTTAAATTGACCTTTAGAAGGTCAATTTTATTTTCTTGGTATCCACTCAAACACTCAATATATTACTTGTACTATAAATTCCTCTAGCATTCATATTTTCTTAAAATCACTTATACCACTACAACCGCAACCACTACTATTACCACTACCACTTCCGCTCACACTATCACTTACACTAAGTACCACCACCACCACCACTACTACTACACTACCACTACACTAGTACTACCACTTCTTCTTCTACTGCGACTGCTACAACGACTACGACTACGATTCCTACTACGACTACGACTACCACCACCACCACTACCACCACCACTTCTTGAACACGACCACAACCACTACCACCACCAACTACCACTACCACTACTACTACTACTAAGTACTACTACTACTACTCTAGGGCGTCGAACGTTTCGCTTCCATTAGGAAATCCGCTATTAACAGTTTATTAGTGTAAATGAGTGTACAAAAGACACAGACAGTATAAATTAACATACTAGCTAATTATAGACATACTCTTCACATTTGAAAGTAGAAAAGGATAATGTCACTTCAGCCTCTTAGAAATGTACCTTTTACAACTGACCCCTATCATGTCCTCACTTCAGTGTTTGCTCGCGTATAGAGATTTATCATCGAAAAATTCATTGGCGTCATAACGTCAGAACATACATGACGTCATTGAAATTAGAAATTTTACAATCCTGCTAGAATTTCCACGACTGAAAACACAGTTTGAATAAATACTTGTTTGACCGTGCATAGCGTAACTTCAGTTGAAAATATGCACAATTTGTAAAAATGCACGACATGAAGGCACCAGCATGTTTGCATGACCCATTAGAATTTGCATGAAGACACCTAATCAAAACATGCACAATATGATGAATTGTTTAAGCCTATTCATGACTACACCTATTTAGAATGCACATAATTTCCGGTGCAGGAACTTGCATGATGAAACTATGTTTGTTTTGGGTTTTACGTCACATCGACACAGTATAGGTCATTTCGCGACGTTCCAGCTTTACTGGTGGAGGAAGACCTCAGGTGCCCTTCCGTGCATTATTTCAGGCACGAACGGGCCCCCGAGTAGAACCACCCACGTTCCGTAAGCTAGCTGGATAGCTTCCTCACATGAAGAAGAACGGGATTCGAACCCACAGCGGTGAGGGGCAAGTGGTTTGAAGTCAACGACCTTAACCACTCGACCACGGAGTTCTATGTGAGAATTTAATGGTATAACAAGCAAGTACTCGCATTTCGTCACCCTAGTATTTATAGCTTATTCAGCACTGAACTGTTCAAGACGAGAATATATTTGGACGAGTACCCATATTGGACGAGCTGCCAAAAAAGCCTGCCATAAAAGTCACGTGATACAGTTTTGAAAATGACTGGCTAGGAAATTATTGTCCGGTGCTTTGGTATGTTTTATATGCAAGAAATAATCAAGGTATTTACATACACACACACGCACACACGCTCACGAAAAAGGACAAAAACACGAAAAGTGAAATTAACTTTTTAATATTTTTATCTTTCAAGGCATACATTGCAATAACCACGATTGGCGCATGTCCTTATGCCTTATGCAAAATATGTATATCGTTATAAGTGACCTTTACTTTATATGTTAATTAAGATGTGCTCAAAATTCATAGGAGATTCCTTGGTACCAATGGAAACAACAAAATTACATAAAAATTGCAGACTGGCTTGAATGATTCTGTTCAGGAGGGATAGTGGAAAAGTGTAACATATCTCACACCAAATGTAAAAATCTGGACTCGGTTTGATTAAATCTGTTCATTATGAATAATGGAATTTAACATTTTGTGTTTTTTTCTGTCATTTTTTAATGTTTTTTTTTTAGCTGTTTTATTTCTAGAATAGAGGTACAATGCCACCATTTCACGAATTCGTGACACAATGGTACCATTGCATTTTGTGACATAATGTTACCATGATCATTTCTTTATTTGAAAAAAGAAATTATAAACGTTTTCATTAGTCTGGAGTTCCTTTCCTTTGCACTACGTTACTTTCCGTAGTAAATGTAGGCAGGGAACCAGATTGCGTTTAGAAATGCGACAAAATCGACAAGAATTAATTTCACTTCCTTTCTTTGAATTCACTTATTTTTCATTTTCAACAAAAAAGTTCATACTTAACTTATACAATTACACAAAAGTAACAACATGCACTTGTATTATATAATTCCACGAAGTACATTTATTATTTGTCACTGACTCAAAGTATCTTAAGTGTAAATGAGGTTCACAATTTAACAGTACATGTACCCAGATTAGAGCTATTTAACAGATCTTGTGCAACAATATATATCTCTGGCGACAAGTTATCATTTAAAGTAGTTTTGATATTTTTTTACTCAAAACGCACGCGCGACATATTACTTCCGTTACTGAAGGAATTTTTAAATGTAAAAAAAAAACAACAACAACAACAAAAAGAAATAATAAAAAGAAACAAAAAAACAAACAAAAAAACCCCAAAAAAACCCAAAAGATTGTTAAGAGGTTAGTCTTTTATTTTAGGATATTTGATATCAATTGAAATATAACTTTATCTAGTTGCTTACTGGCTGCTATTTCTGAACAAGTGCACGTTATCATTTGCCCCAAATCAACTTAAATGCGGAAACGATTTTATCACTAATGACTATACAATATATTACTCTCACAATTTCCCTTTCACGCGCCCCGTTAATTTCAATTATGTCAAGTGCCGTAACAAGATGGTTTGTACCAATCAGATTTTACAACTGTTTACAATTTATTGTAAAAGTCCTCATAGAAACTGTCAAAAATTCAATATTTGAATAGTTTTAATTTTCTTTTTTTCTCGTCTAAAATAGATTTTAATAAACACAACAAAACATTCGAGCCGGACTTATAAAGTGCGGATATGTGTTATGTAAACTTGTGACGTTTGAAAAATATAATTTCGGATCTATTTAGTGAATAAAATGGGAATTAATGAATATAGTATGAATTTTTACTTGTGTAAGTGAACTTTCTTTGTTTGAAGTTAGTATAGGTACAATAATGTTGCCCGCCTGCCCTGTCCTGCCCTCCTGTCATACATTTCAAAAGCAAATTAACTGCACAATAATAATGCCTCAGAAATCCATATTTTTTTTTAATTCATTCGAAAAATCAAACATGTTCTTAATGATATTTTAATAATGGATTAAGAGCATGTTAGATGTTTAACAGCTGAAGAAAGTAGCGCGGAATGTCCAGTTATGTGTCGTAAAGGTAGCAAAATGTAAACAAAGTGCATGGTATTTTGATTTCTATACAAAATGTCTTATCACTATATGAATTATCATGAATTTTCAATGGAGCTTAAGAGGCAAATGATAGTTGATGTTTATGGCAAATGAGAATGTGTTTGGAAACAGTCACAAGATACCAAAAATGTACAAGATACCAGAAATAAAAATGATATAAGCATTTCCGAGGCATAATATTATATGGGCCTTTAAATGTTATCTATTTTTAAAGACTATGTTTGCTAGATGTTGCATCGAATATTGTTGGATATTTCGATGTAATGCTCGTTTAAAGATGTATAAAATACATGTATAGATTTGTTTTATTTAGCCAAATAAAATAATATCTTAAAAGCTCATAAGATATTGTATTCTTAAGTCTATTTTTGCAAGTATGTTACAGTTATCTAATAATAATAATAATAATAATAATAATAATAATAATAATAATAATAATAATAATAATAATAATAATAATGATAATAACGATAACGACAACGACAACATCGACAACAACAACAACAACAACAATAATTATAATTTGCCTACGTATTCCAGTGATGTTACTTAACTTTGCTCTGTTTTTACTAACAATCAATATTGGTCTCTCCAAAAGTACCTCAGCACGTTATAAAGAACATTTTATATATACATTGTTTAATGTTTGAAACAATAAATGTATTAATTATGACAATATGCAAGTTGTCATTTTAAGTAAGCTTTCCATCAAGTATTTCAGTAAGTATTTCCGGATCACTTCATAAAAGTACACGTTATAATCTGTCGACGAAATCGTTTATTTTGTTTTCATTGTCGTTATAAGCTTTTTCGGAAAGCCTTGGCTACACGTACACACGTTGGGTAGCACTCCACAGTTAATTTCAAGTTTCTGCCGTCAGTGTCCTACAAGCAATATACGTCTGATAATTCTGATACAAAACTACACAACCTTGAAAAAGAAAACACATTTTGTTGAAAACATATATGACATAAGATTGCAAATCTACAATGAAATTATCCCGGCAGTCAAAAAAGTTGCAATTCATTCCGTTGAAGCCCAAAATCTACAGTGGCGTGAGACCCAAAACAACACATTTGAGCCGCGTCACGACAAAACCAACATAATGGGTTTGCGACCAGCATGGATCCAGACCAGCCTGCGCATCCTCGCAGTCTGATCAGGATCCATGCTGTTCGCTTACAAACCCTATTACAAGTAGAGAAACTGATAGCGAACAGCATGGATCCTGATCAGACTGCGCGGATGCGCAGGCTGGTCTGGATCCATGCTGGTCGCAAACCCATTATGTTGCTTTTTGCTCGAGACCCAAAACAGCACATTTCGTCCTCCGATGATGATCACCATTTTGGCCATCTTTTCTAAAATGGGTGGTATGCAACATTTTGACGTATACAGCTAACGGCAAGCTGTATTTTGTGTGAGCTGTATACTGTGTTACAATCAACGTATACAGCTCACGCATAAGCTAAGTACGCCGTAAACTGTATACGGTGCAAACATGTTGGAAAAGGCACAATAGGTTTATCGGAAAAATACGTACTATACTGTTTTTGTCAAATATTTGCCTGGAACAAAATATGATATGCATACTACACAGTGTCACAAGGCCACCCATCCTGATACTGTACTATGCGATACTCTGAAAAGGACTAAATCATTCATGAAAATAAATAATAAATAGATAAATAAACAAACAAACAAACAAACACATTGAAACAATGTGTTTTTGAGAATTGTTTCAGAAGAATGTGACTGTATACATAACCTTTGTACGGTTAGTTATAACAATAATCTGAATACTTATTGAGTACATGAAGTCAAGTGCTTCTGTTTCCGGAGTAACAGTTCATATTTATTCGTTTGTGTGTGTATAAAATGCACATGTGTCTTTTAAAAAAAAAAAACAAAATTGAATGGCATGGTCCTTGCAATTAGTGACTTACAGCTAATTTTCATTAACTTGATATGACTATTAAGGACAGTATTTTATGTCAGCTTTGTAGACAGATATTATAAAATCTCACGTTTAAACTCCAGTAATGAAGTAGGGAATGGTGTAGCATCTTTGCCGCTAAATGTCGCATCATCGCCGCTAAATGTCGCATCATCGCCGTTAAATGTCGCATCTGCCGCTAAATGTCGCAGCATTGCCACTAAATGCCGCAACCACTGCAAAATTGTTTTAAAATATTTTGCCGTTAAATGTCGCAATGGTAATGTTAATTAAATGTCGCACAATTTTCCCTTGCCGTTTAACACCACCGTTTGATGTCGCAAGATGTATATTCATGATAGAATTATGTTAACTAGTGATATTAAATTACCATACATTTATATGTCACTATAGTATCTCTTTATACATAACAAGTACAAAATTACACCTTCTCATTTCAGATTTATATTGTATGGTTCTGGGCACGAGTTCCTTCACTCTAAATGATTTCGACCTCCCGGGAATTTTCTCATCAGATATTTGCTCCAACAGTTCTTTGAGTAAAAAATTATCGCCTCTATGCCAGTGCAGAGATCAAACAGAGATATCAGATATAAGTTCGTTATGCAAGTACGATGCTGTTTTCTTATAACCTTTATTTGAGCCGCGTCACGACAAAACCAACACAATTGGTTTGCGACCAGCATGGATCCAGACCAGACTGCGCATCCGCGCAGTCTGATCCGGATCCATGCTGTTCGTTTACCAACCCTATAACAAGTATAGAAACTGATAGCGAACAGCATGAATCCTGATCAGACTGCGCAGATGCGCAGGCTGGTCTTGATCCATGCTGGTTGCAAACCCATTATGTTGGTTTTGTCGTGACACGGCTCATTTATGTTAAAGGGTTTATTAGAATATTTGATTTTGTTAAAAGTTTTCTAATTTTGTCTCTATTTCGCAAACTAATAGGCGGACCTCATTTATACTCCAAGTTTAATATTGTCATTTTCGGTTGAAATTGAAGTGTGAAAAAAATTGTTAAGAAATCATTTTGATTGTCTTGCATCTTATTTTATATTGTCGTCGTCGTCATCATCATCATAATCATCATCACTTTATCATCATCATGAATATATATTAACATTATCATCATCATCATCATCATCATCATCATCATCATCATCATCGTCGTCGTCGTCGTTATCGTCATCATCATCATTTAAACCTAAATCTTTCCTTTAACAGGTCACATGTAGAGTTCGGGGATTGTGTTGCGGCCAATCTAAAAGAGATCAAACGCAATGACATATTTTTGAAGCACGTTTTTAGCCATAAAAAGTTCGATCACAATATCGCCCATCTGTGTCGGATACAAAGTGGTAAAATTTATAAATTTTCAACCGATTGCATTTTTGTAATTTTGTTTACATTTTCAAGTTACGGATGTAAATTAATAACGTAACAATGTACTGTAATGTGTTTTTATTTAAGTAATCCTACTGTAATTTAAAGTAAGGATAGTCTGCTTGCGGCAACTGAACCGTTGCAGACCAGTATAACAGGAACATCCGTGTGATCATGGTCTGCATTTTTTACAATTCAGTCAGTAAATATTTTGAAATGTTCCCTAAAAGTGATGAATGGTTTTGTCCAGACAGAAAAATCGACAAGTCTATTTCAGTCACATGTTCATGTATTAGGTTAGGGTTATAAGAGAAACACAAAATTGTTAGATATTTTTACCATGTTTAAATCGTTTTAAATTTTTAAATTGGTGAACGATTGAAACGAATTTTTATTGTTCGCCCAATAAATGAAAAAAATCATCGTACATATATATGGGAATATTATATGCATGTAATTCAAGTCCGATAACCATCATTATCGCATTACAGATCAAAACGCACGGGAGTTATGGCACTTGAATTGACAAATAATCACGAAAAAGCAATTAACGTTTGCCCAATAAATGAAATGATAGTTTTGTGCTTGGGTTCGAAAATCACACATACACTCATATATTGACGTTTAAGCTTTTCCACATTGTATGTCACGGTGTAGAAGCACTGAATTTCTGTCAGCTAACTTTATATCTCCCTGACATGAAACAATTCTAAGTGGCTATTAGTTATAGCTCTTGAATAATCTAAATTGGTTTGAATTAAAAAAAAAAACAAACAAAAACATGATGACTTAAGCGTGTGCTCTGTAACTCAGGTTTTCTTTTTTACCTGAAGCCAACAACTATCTTAAAAAGGGGTTTTCTTTCAGATGCGGCGGAAATTGCTCAGTGTACAACACCAAGTGTTCCTAAGAATTGTAACTCAGCTTTTGAACATTTTCTTATCGGAACAGAGTCCTTCAACGAGTCGAGATCATGCAGGTATAGTTAAAACATTGCTCAGATATAAAATATGAAATAAAAAGAGAAACAAGATTATATGGCAGTTTTGCATACGCGTCGATTGGCTGCGTAGGTTCAAACACTGTCAAGACAAACCATTGTTTCCTCGAGCAAGAAACTTTACCCACATTGTTTAGTACTAGTTGGCTCCAGAAATGGATTTGGAAGCGTTTCAATAAGTTACATCGAACCTAAGTGCTCGACTATTTTTTTAAGCCAATCACCGACGAGGATTTTTCAAATTTTCAGGTTACAAATCTTAATAGAACAGATTTTATATAAACTGGACGTTTTATATTATAAAACGCAAGTGGGCGGAGCACTAAGCCGGTTAGAGTACATATTGGATGTTCTTCGTAAATAAGAAAGCTACAGTCGCTTCGCAAGCTCCGCTCCTTTTTAGCTTTCTTATTTACGAAGAACACCCAATATGCACTCTAACCTATACATAAACTAGTATATATTAGATTAAAGCGCTTTAATAAACTGACTATTGTAGTGCAAAACTTTAAAGCATGTTACAGAAAAGTGGCTTATATGACCGTTCTGTCTATTTTGGCACTAGGATAAGTAAAATTTTATTATAACCTGCGAATCATTACTATAAGAGATGTCCATAATTAGCTACCATACTTGAAACAAATGATAAATGCATAAATTGATTTTAAACTTGTTAAGACTCGTTTATTGTTTAAACATTTTTCTTTCATTTGGCTCGCTAAACTTTTGTATCAAATAATATATTTTTCCTGTATATTCTTTAAAGATGCACACCTCAAGATGAGCTTAAATATTTCAAGAAAATCAAACTTGAGAAAAAAATGTAAAAAATTAAAATGATTTAAGATTCAAGAAATAATTTACATGTTATGTGCAATTAATGACTGATTTTTCAGTATTCATCACCATATTTTTTACTGACTAACGCAGTAAGGGTTTATTTGGAATATTTTGACATTTCTTTGGTAATTCACGTAGATTGGAAGTGTCGTTACAATGTGCATTTTTTTTTCTTATTTACTTTTACATCGTAAATACATTTTCAAAATTTTTATGAAAATTAGTATGAATCTTGAGACATTCTGCTTTAAGGTGTTTCCTTTTTTGTCATTTTTTGCATGTATGGTGTCCATCGGCGACATTTGTCAAGAATGTTTGTTTCATTAAAAAACATACATTCCAGCATTGTTCACGATACATTGAGGGAATGCTACTGGGGAATTTATAAGAGCAGCTGCCCACCAACCGTTCGATATTTCTGGTCAAAGTTGTCGGAGTCATTTCTATCTATGAAGTGTTCAAAGTAGTAAGTCTATTTTATAAACCTTATTTTCGTATACCTTTGTACTTATACAAGTTAGTATGAAGTCTTCGACTATTCAAATTGTTTATACTAAACACGCAAACATGAATGCGCCCACAGCAATACTTGATTTTATACTGGACCATGTTAATTGTCTTAAAAGAACTTTCCCAGCTTCCGTATACCAGGAACTGTCCTTTTTCTGTTCTGGGATATCAACATGAAAATTTAAAATGAGTCAGCTAACCGTATATATAGAGCCTGGTCAAACTGGACAGGCATACAGTCTGTTTTTAGCTATGGTGACAAAAGGGTAAAAACTTTCAGTTCCAGCACGGTATATTAGCATTCATTTTATTGTCAGTATATACGTAGAATACTGTTTACTATAGTATCGTTTAATAGGTTGATTATGTTTACGATCTTGATGTTTATGACCTTTAAAGGAATTCCACTGAGGTCCAAAAGCCTTAAAACATAAGATTTGAATGTCCTACATAGATCAGCAAGGGCATTTAAAACAGAAAGATATACAAAATATAATTCAGAATGTTTTGTTTTTTATTTCAGCGGACAGTCTAAAACGGATCGGTGTATGAAAATTCGGAACGCTTTCTATCCGAATTCAAAGAAACGTAAATACCAAACAAAAGACGAATGTCAGTAAGTTATTTATCGTATGCATCACCTTAATGATAGGAAATTCTCTGATGAAATTAACGACGAGATGATCTTGTGATATTTGGAAGCATGAAAAATTTGAAATATCAGATGTTAACGTGAATATCTAGTCAGTTCGCTATGATGTCCTTTTCCGGGACACTTTTCGTTTAATTGTAGAATTGCCGTATCATACGCATTAATTAACGATCGACTATTGTGAGTATTTATGTGTTTTTCATTTTGTCAAGTTCGATTGTGGTAGAAAATTATTGTAAGCAAAACGTTAAAAAAAACTGCATATAATGATAACAAGGACTTGCTAACACTGGAGCAGAATGTTTCGCCTGTTAATGATTTAAATTGAAAAACTTTGAGTAAAAGATGGATTCCACTATTTTGAACAGCAAAGGGTAGATTAAAGAAAATAATTATATAAAATAAAACAATTAAAAGTCTACGACAATTTATTACAAGTAGATCCGTTATTTTCGGCTTAAAATCGTCATTCGTGCTGATTTATTGTTGTAGTCACTATCTCCATTTTTAAAGAAAAATGACCAAAGACTGAAATGCACTCGTTACAGTTCTATTTATTCTTTTATTTTCATACTTTAATTTATTTTCGTTTCAGCGAATCTGTTAAGACTATGCGACAATGTTTTCAAATGGAGAGACTGGATTCATTACACCACGATGATATTTGGCACAATATGGAATTCGAACTTGACAAATTTATGATCTATGAACGATTTAGATGCGATTTTCAAAAAGAAAAAGGTAGGTCATGAGTTTAGCGTGTGGTATGGTTGTAGCCATCTGTTACAACTTCCGGCTAAACTTGGGCGCGTTATCCATCTCTGAAGGTACCGGATATTCTCTTGAGAAATCACATACAGCAGCCATTTTCACAAAATATCTTATGACAAGTTTCTGTCGTACAAAATCTTTCAGTAAATTTCCTTTTCACAAAAGAAAATCCTAAGTGCAAAAATCTGTCGTAACTTGACGATAGGTGTTCCCTTATTCATAAGTGTACTTTTTTCTTTTAAGAGTAAAATATCACGTATCTTTTATGCCGGCTCGCCACGGCGAGCCGGTATTACGGTAGGATTTTACTGAGAAACAACCTAAAACTCCGAAGCTATCCAAAAATTTAATCGAAGCTTGGCTTCCAGCTGTCTACAAAATTTATCTATCAGGGCTAGGATCCAAAATTATTTAGCCAATCAAATTTAATCTTACATAGCGTCAAAAAACCTTCAATTTTCACGCCATTTTTAAAAATCAGCAAGTATTGTTTTAAGCGGAAAGATATAATGATGATTAAAATGTTTGTCTTTATGAATTCTTTTCAATAAATCATATTTACACTGACTTCTGATTTAGCGATTTCACCTGTTTTCTCTGTAGTAAGTTTTCGTTTGGTTAATTAACATAAGTGTACATCTGGTTCTGTGCATTTTTTATTTTTCCTTTTTTTCCGGTCGTTTTATCCTTTCCGGTATTTAGTGTATGTATTTACTGGCCGGGATCCGGGACGCCCGGGATCCGGGATCGTATAAGATATGGAGGAAAAACCTAATGAACTATATTTGTGTTGATTGTTGTCGTAATGAAAGGCCATTAAACGTTAATTTTTTATTATATATAATGAACGTTAAATTAATTTAACTTAGAATATAGATATATTTAGAGCTATTTATTAACAAACTTAAAATGCAGAAATCACAATACTTATAATTATATGCCTAATTAATTGGAAAAATCAAAGACTATTTTCTTGAATTGGTCAAATCCCGGGATCACTATATGTTTTAAAACGATCCCAGCTTTTCTGAAAACTATATACTTGAACTGGCCAATCCGTGAGATCTATTTACATTTTAATACGATCCCGGCTTTTCTGAAAACTATATTCTTGAACTGGTCGATTCCCGGGATCCCTATATGTTTTAATAGGATCCCGGCTTATCTGAAAAACATCTTCTTAGACTGGTCAATTTCCGGGATCCCTATATTTTTTAATAGGATCCCGGCTTTTCTGGCTGAATTGATTGACAACTTGTGTTTACTTTAGGACTTGTGCCTCTCATTCCAATACTAAATAACATTCATGTATTACAACTTAATTTTGTATAAAGAGACATCTTTATGAAATCTACCTATCTAACATTTTGTGGTCAAGGTCAACAGGCCATAGAGTAAATGTGCATAGACATAGGTTCTTCATTCAATCTGTTTACATGCACCTTCATATATACTCATACTCATCTTGGTTTAACTGAGAGAACTTTATATATCACTTTCAGTCATTGAGTTTAAGATTTTGAATTTACTGGCCCGAATTCCAGTTTTGAATTTATTCTACTAAATAATTAACAGAATTTTCTTAAATTTACATTGGCCTGAACTTATATACACTGGCCATCGGGCACCGGGCCAGTGTTGACTTCACTTTTATTTTGATGTTCGCTGAAGTCTCTTCAGCTAACAGAACTGTCATTTTTACATTTAAACACACCCCTTGAAAAAAATTACGAAGCGAGTCGCTACTAGCTTTTTTAAAAGCTAACCTTGTATAAACTTAAGATAAGTAATCAGATCTTTTTTGAAAATGTCTTATGACTATGGTAGTAGGTCACTTTCCAAAACCCCATAACTTTAGTACGGTATGACTTAAGATAAAGATTCCTAGGCAACATAAATCTCCTCGTGTTCTGAAAGTGGTTTTTAGAAACTTCACGCTGCCTGCAAGACCATAATTTACATTACTTTTCAAGGCCCGCAACCCTAGTTTTTAACTTTGACTTGAATTATTTCCCTTTCTGAGCTTAGAAAATCTTTACATTCTATTTGATTTATATTTAGTAAAGTACATCATTGTGCCTGAGAAATGTTTCTAGGTTTTACGGCCTTTAAAATAGATTATTTATTATTTCCAGATAAAAGCCATCATTGTGAGCATCCCCACAGGAAAAAACTCGAGCATTGTATAAACAATATCTACGGGAGAGGTTTTGAAAAACAGACACAATTGTTACATAAGGGGGGCAATGTGACAATTAATGAAATCTGCAGGTAAGGAAAAAATCTTGAGTCAAAGTATTTCCTTGTATAGCAACATGTTATAGTTCGGCTGAGTTCGGTACATTCCGTATTTGATATATATGATACGACAAAATAAGTGTATTAATAGAGATGTTAAGCTGATGGAAAATGGCGGAATTGTTCGATTTTTTTTTGCGATCTTAAAATTTATTTATAATAAATAAATAAGTACTTCTAAAACCGGTATAATTTCTAACTGATCACCTATGATGGTACATGTATTGATATCTTAAGCTCAGCTTTTTTGTACAATATTAAATAGCTGAGTTTAAACGCTGAAACCGGTGAATTTCTTTCTTAGTTTTATTTTTGTGACGTTCATGCTGTGCTATTTTTAGTTGTTATTCTCTTTAAGGGTACAAAGCTATATCTTACGAACTATTTTTGATAGATTTATCAAAAGTGAATTTATATTGTTTCCATAATCGTATGATTGACTCTCGAAAGCGCTATAACATAACATGCCTCTATTATTAAACACACATAAATATTGTACGTAATTTTAATAAAAATTTCTTTCATACAATATTTCAACACCATTCAAACAAGAATTTTTGCAGCAGATATATAGCTTGATACACTTTAAAGGCCCGTTATGCGTCAAAAATGCTTTTAGTTTTATTTCTCAAAAGCTTTTTAATTTTGGTTTACTTTCATAGCATCCAAAAAGTTACTCATTGGTCCACCAAATATGCTTTTACTTCTTTAGAAAGGTCAAACATGAATTGCAAAAATTTTAAGTAATTGTTTTAGAGATTGATAGATGCTTGTTGCCTGACAAAAAATAAACAACAATAAATGAGCCGCGTCACGACAAAACCAACATAATGGGTTTGCGACCAGCATGGATCCAGACCAGCCTTCGCATCCTCGCAGTCTGATCAGGACCCATACTGTTCGCTTACCAAGCTTATAAGTAGAGACTGATAGCGAACAGCATGGATCCTGATCAGACTGCGCGGATGGGCAGGCTAGTCTGGATCCATGCTGGTCGCAAACGCACTATGTTGGTTTTGTCCTGACGCGGCTCAAATGTAAATTTATTTGTAAAAAAAAATAGCAAAATGTAAAGAAATTAGAATTTTGAATTCCAAACAAAATACTAATTCACTATAACTGCACTTATTGCCAAAGAACAATAGATGAAATTTTTTTTAGGTAATTGACCACTGAACAACTTTTTGGATGCTGTTAAAGTACACTAAAATTAAAAAGCTTTTGAGAAATAAAACTAAAAGCATTTTTAATCATTAATATTGATAATTCGGTAAATTGTCTTGTCTTTTTTTTTCATTGTCAAAGGTTATACGAAGATACAACTCATTGTATTGAGAACGTATTGAAGGACTGCGTCCTCAACGGAGCTCATCTGAATGCCATATTTTGCGGTTCGATGCCTGCGTCCTGCCATTGTCCAGTAAACGTTGCAAATTACATCAGTGCAAGAACGTCTGCTTCAAGTAAACTCGCACCCGCCACCTGGATAATGTTGCTAGTTACGTGTACTGTTACAAGATACTTGAAAGTATTTCGTCTAAAATAATTGCATGTCTCCAGATTCTTAACTCTCTCTTTAAACTTTTGTATAAGGAAGTTTATTCACGGAAGTGTAACATGACGTAGTTATTGTACGATCTTATGTGATACACCAACATACCTTAAACCACAAGATCCTGACTGTTTGAGTGTAAATATAAAAGTATTGAGCAAGGTTTAGACGTACTTGAGTTCAGTGACACATTTGTACACACTTATTTCCACTGTTTTATATGAACACCTTTTAGGAAAACAGGGCCGACAATCAATGAATGATCAAGGGCAAGCATTTGGTTTCTATTTGCCTCCCTTAGTTATATATTTGAATATTATATTACTGTACATTTTAGAATAAAATGAAGTAATTTTTTTCTTTGGTTTTCTTTCACACCGGTTTTTAACATACAAACAATAATTGCAACTCCTTGACACATTCCATCAAACTTGGGATATAACATAATTGGACCAGCAACTGGAGACTATCAGCAGTTGGATGTGTCTTTAACACCGAAATTCCTTCACAAATGAGCCTATTTTATATTTTCTCTTATATTTCTTATGTAAACAGTACATTGGCTGTGTCTTATAATTTTTTTTTACATTGGCTGTGTCTAATAATTTTTTTAGCGTTAAAAATTGAGTCGAGTATATTAAATGGAATGTGCTGAACAGTTTTCCCTATTCACACCAAAGGAACGCGGTTGTTTACCTGCTCTTGGTTAGATGTTATAAGTGACGTAAACAAGTTTTTTTGTATGAGGAACCAGGCTACAGCTCCTCATACACAAACTACAGCATTTGCTACTAATCTAATTATGTCAATGTTTTATACTTTGTCCGAAATTATCATAATTATTATGTATTATCATAGAGCTTTGTAATAAATGTCTATCGTATTATAGCCTCATTTTTCTAGATAGAGTTCTCCGTATGCTTTCATACCTTGCTGTCACTGTCATTCTGTCAATTTAACACACCTTTATATCTGTGTATTGCGCTAGTCGATAAGTTCAAATTTAAGGTAATTTTTTATTTTCCTCGTTTTAATTTTTAAATGAATAATAGGAAAAACAAAAACGAACAAAAACAAGAAGAGAAAAGTTGCAACAAGACAGTTTTTTTCCGATTTATTTATCAGATATTTCCTGACAAACTATCTCTAAAACAAACTCATAGACTGTAACAGTTGTACTGCTGAGAATTTGCATAACTTGACTTGATATATGTCGGACTTAAACTTTTGTATTGAGGGGAATTTTACAAAAAAAATGACTTCAGGATTATACTTGATATGGTGTCACAAAGCTCTAGTTCAACTGTACAATATATACGGCTTCTATTTGTAATAAAATTGTTCGTAAAGACCTATATTATGCTGAAAGTAATTGCGCGTATGGCTTCTTTTAAAACCTTTGACTGGAACTTTAATTATAGTCTCCATATTTATGTGTCTTTATACACGCATATAACAGAGAATCATGCCTTATCCGGAATAAACAACATATTGATTCTTTAAAATACCTTTTTCCCTGAGTATTTACATGTAGGGATGCTATTATAAAATGTGAGAAAGAAAAAAAAGTAGCCATACGTTGTTAACCAGAGTGTCTCCTGTAGCAAATAGCAAATTTCTACATGTTTACAATTACCAAATTGAATATTATTTAAATAACATTTTTGTAACATCAAAGATTTACATATTGATGTCAGACATACAGGAACTAAAGTGTACAAGTAGAGATTTTGATGCTAAAGCATCAAGTCGCCGGATAGAAATATGATTGTATTATCATAAATTAAAGAAAATATCAGTTTAATGGTTCGAGTATAAAGAAAAGAGGAACAATAAGTTGAGTAATGTTTATTCATAAACACGTTTTCATTTACTTGCCACAATTATATATTTCTTGCTGAGAGTTTTATGCAATAGATTTATGCTATGTTATAATAAAACATCATTTTTGAAGCAAACTTGCTTTAGCAATTTTTGTCAAGAAACTGTTATTCATTATTTAATAAGCTAGTATTGTTTGACAATATTTACACGAGACTCAATAATTTTCGGGAGCTGTTTCGTTTGCCTTACATAACTTTTTATGATTAATGTTAACGATTTTATTGTAAGTATAATTACGTGTATAATTAATATCAATTGATACTGCTCGATGGCCTTGTGGTAAGTATGACGGAGTTGTAACCTACATGTACATGTAGTAGGCGCAAGTTCGAATCTCGGACAAATCCTGTAGTTTTCATAAATTGAATTTTATAATATATCTTTTGACTTTATGAAACATAAGTTTGATAAATCGTGTGTTTCATTTCTAGCACTTTTTTTATTTCATAATTTTGATAAACGGTCAAGTTTTGCAAAATACAAAAAGTATTATAAAAAGAAAACATAAAAAATCAATTTAATCAGGTATGTATATTAACGTACCTGATTTAATGAACCTATACAGTCTTCAATTTGAAACTAACTTAAAATCTAAACACCTTGTCATCAAGGCTTGTAAAGCAAATAATATGATTATAATTCTACTTGTAATTCTACTTTTTATACATATACCGTTGTACCATACATTTGAATTCCGTATGGTTTTTCTGAGCATCCGATAATTGCCGACAAATTATTACCGATCATCGAATATTTGCAAAAGTGACTATGAAAAATATATATGCTTAATTATTGCATAAAACAATGCAATTCTACTGTAAAAGTGGTGTCTGCATAAAAAAATATTATTATGCACTATCGAAAAAAATATATTATTTGGCTGAAATCAATATTCCTGTCGTTACATACGATATAGTTAACGTTTAATTGCCTTTCAGTGGGATAAAACTATCACTGGTTTATTAGTTTTCTCTTTGTATCCAATACGAATCCGGCCCCTACTGTTATACCGAGATTTTTCATACAAAATTACTTTGATTTGCACTTTATCAGCTAGTTACCTGTAATGTCTATATCTTATCAGCCCATTTGTTACTATTAATAGATTTTATAACAATAACATAACAACGTGTAGTCACGTGATTCTGGGAGAAACTGTTTAATAATAAAATAAGATAAAAAAATAGAATAGGCCTCAAAAGATACAAACAACCAGATAATTTAAAAGTGTCATTTTAAAATATCATGCATGATTTATTCATCATAAAATAGCAACGCTTGACACTTTAAAAAAGTAAAAGCATCCCTAAATTCAATGACTGGTCCATAGGGATACGTCGTTAATTCATTTTATAAAAATTGTAATGTTGCTTTTTACGATGTCAATATTTGAATATTTCATTTCATTGAGCAACATTATTGTATGTTTGAATTTTTGAGATTACTGAAAACAATTGTAGTCTTTAATTGTTCAGTAATTATTATGCTTTTATTTACAGAAATTAATGCCTTCTCCTACCATAGGTATAATATTAAACTGTTACAAATATAGTCGCCGGTTTCTACCGGCGACTAATGAATACAGAATGATGCATGCGATTTTCTCGACTTTTCATTGGCTGACTAAACATGTATTGTAAGAATTTTCTCCCCTCGGTATTTGCACGTGGTTGAGAGGCATGGCTTATCGGTAGGAGATTTGGAGATTGATCGAACTTTGCTTGATCAAGGAGACTGACTGGTAGCTTTGTTTCCTTACAAAAATGGCAGATCCTAGAGGTGAAACTTATTATGTAGTTAAATTCTACAAACCAGCTACACTGATTTCCTTACTGAAGCCGAGGGGAGTGGCCGTACAGAGTTGGCAGAGACGAAAAGGACGGGTACGTGAGTTTTAAGGGCGTGACTGGTGAATTGTCACATTTGATTTCCTGTTATGCTTATAACTGTTTTCAGCTTTAATCATACTCCGATGTGTGCAATATGAATATTTATAAAAAAAATCAATACAAAAATCAATGAATTTATATCTAATATCTAAAAGAATCACAATGGTTCAACTTCTATTTAATTTAAAATGTTTGATACTTCAAACAGCACATAGAGGGTCGCCATTATTGGCTTGCTAAAGTCGTAATATACAGTACACGATTTCAGAGCAACATACCGAATAAAAAAGATGTTTTGGCTAACCTTTGATTTGCTTTATAGAAATTTGATAATGTTGAATTTAAAAAAAAATCTGATATTTGATACCACTGAAGTTAAAGTCTTTCCTAATGTTCCTTTCAAAACTATTTGATTTCAAGACAAAGAAAATTCTAATCTGTAATCATCAGAGACATTTCATTAATCAACATGGAGTGTAGACTTATCAATGATTTATAAAATCGAAAAATCAAATTATACTCGTACTGAATTAAATAGATTAAAAGTGTCAATGCATCAAAGAAAAACAGATTAAAGTGTTACCACAGGATGAAAAATACAAATGAATTTCTGTCAATGTCGTAGATGGAAATTGTTCCACTGCTTGGTGAAATATGGTAGTTCCAATGGCATACTGTAAATAATTCATTATCAACAATGCAAAGTTAATATATTGTTATGTCTCAGCGTTGTATCTTACTTACGTGCGCATGCGTGCGTGCGTGTGTGTGTGTGTGTGTGTGTGAATTCTTTGTTAATGTTTTTGGGCTTAACGGCACATTGACACATTACTGAACATACCACAAGGAACACTAACTATTAAGCTAGTAGAAAACTGTAACTTTTCAGCCAATAAAGCTCTTTAACTATTAAGCCACTTTAACACTATAACTATTGAGCAACTGGAAGACAATTATTATTTAACCGCCAGAACAATAGACTATAAAGTCACTAGAACCCTATATATATATATCAAAACATCTAGAAAACATTAACTATTAAGCCACTGGATCACTCTAACTATTAAGTCACAGGAACACAATAATAATTAAGCCGCTAGACCACTATATCTATTAAGCAACTAGAACACTGTAACTATTAAGTCATTAGAACGCTATAACTATTTAGTCACTAAAACACTATTACTGTTTAGCCACTTGAAGGCAATAACTATTCAGCTAATAAAACACTATAACTATTAAGAAACTGGAGCAATATAAATATCATGCCGCTAAAACAATATAACTATTAGTCCGCGAGAACGCTATAACGATTAAGCCACTGGCACGCTATAACCATTAAGCCACGGTAACACTATAACTATTTAGTAACTAGAATACTATAACTTTTAAGCCAATAGAACACTTTATGTATTAAGCCACTAGAACTCTAGAACAATTAAGCCAATACAACACTATAATTATTAAGTCACTTGAACACTATAACTATTTGGCCAATATAACGCTTTAACTGTTGGACCACAAGAACGCTTTAAATATTAGGCCACTAGAACAATATTACTATTAAGCCAATAGAACACTATA